GGGGCGCAGAAGAAAGGAGTATGAGAAAAAACAGAAAAGGAAAGTGTGAGAAAGTCCCAGAAATCGAAAACAAAGGGAAAAACAACTAAAGGTCAGAGAAACTGAAAAAACCAGAGGAAAGAAATGTTAGGTGAGGTGCAAGGACAGGGACAAAGAAAGAACAAAAGGTACATGAGAGAATGAGACCAGGACACAGAGAAAGAAGAAAGAGGAAACAGCGACAGACAAAACAGAACCACAAGTTGAGCGTGAGAGGAAAGGAAAGCCGCAGGCGTCACCTCCAGGATCTTTACCTTGGCCGCTTGGTCAAACAGAGCTCAAGATTTAACTAGCCGCGCCCAGGGCCCATGCTGGCAGGTGGGCCACCGGCTGGCTCCTGGCTGGGGCGTCCCGGCCCAGATGCCCCACCCCCGCGGGGCTCCGCGGTGGGGGCCCTGACTGACTAGCTGCCTGAGCAATCACATTCAGCTAAACCGCTGCATTGTGCACAGCGGTGCCCTGCCTGTCTGCCTGGCCGGGGCAGCGCGGCTCAGCCCAGGGGGCTCATGTATGGGCTGGGTATGGTGGGGGTGGAGGTGGGTTTGCTCCGAGCTCCGTCGATGAGCGGGTGTAGTTCCCAGTTCTGGCTCTTTTCAAGGAGGAGGAGCAGAAAGAGGATGAGGAGGAGGAGGAGCAGGAAGGGGGGAAAAGATGGTTGATTAAAATCAAAACATCCACAAAAGGAAAAAAAATTCAAAATTCTTTTCTGTCAAACGACCCTGAGATCTTTGCTTTTTCTTGTCTGGATTCACTCGTTGCTTTTGGGAGAACACCACAGCCACACAGGGTCCCGGCGATCAGGGATGACAATGACCCAATACCAGCAAGTGGGAAGCAGTCTGTCTGCTGCCCCAAGGGAACAGGTGGCTCTGGCCAGCTGCCTGGAGGTGTCCCACTCACTGAGGACAGAGGGGAAGCGAGGTGGGGCGGGAGGCCGTGGCAGACGGTGAAGTGAGGAGGAGAACCCATCAGCCAATGCTGTTGTCCTTCCCATCCCCCGCCCCCAGGAAGTTCTGGATCGGGGAAAATGGGAGAGGACAGGGCTGCAGGCTCCACTGGCGGGGCCAGGGGACACATGCTAGGGAACAGACAGGAGGAAAACGGGGGCACTCACCACTCCTCATCTTTATGAGCCAAAAAGAAATCTTGCATCTGCTGCCTTCGAAAATCCAGCTTATAGTCATTGTAACGCTTTACAGCCTCAGTCTCGTCCACAGAGTCATCCAATGACAGGAGAAACTCCTTGAAAGTCTTCATCACCGGTGGTGGCACACCCAAGTCAATCTCTGCGATGCTGCCCAGCCTGGGGGGGGCCCGGTCAGGAAGTCTTGGTTGTGGGGGAAGAGGGTGGGGGGGATGGGGGGGCCGAGGTAGCCAGCTGCCCCCTTCCTTTGCCCACCACGGACACACACCATAGGCACCAACTGCTTCCCGCCCCCACAGGCACCCCTCTGTACCTAACCCACTTCCTGGCTCCAGCTGCGGTCTCTGGCAACCCCAATCCATCCCCCGAACCTAACAACTCCCTTTTCCCAGGAACCCCAGAACCCCAGGTCTTTACCTGGCCTGGATAGGCAGAACATGGTGCTGCATGATGTGGACGTCGGGGTGGCCCCAGGGCTGAGGGGGGCCATAAGTTGGGCCCCCACCCCCCCCAGCATAGGGCATCTCATAGCCACTGTGGTATGGGTCAGAACTGTGCTCATCCCTGAGGGTAGGGGACACAAAAGTCAGACAGAGAAGGGCATCATGTCTCCAGAGCACGAAGGAAGACGGGACAGAGGAAGGGGCATATGGAATGTGGGCTCTCGCCCAAGGGTTTAAAGGGACAAAAAAACGGGGGTTTATAGGAAGTCCTCCAACTTCCTATAGGAAAGGAAATGACACAGTCCTCAGCCAAAGTGCCAACAGACAGCCAAGGCCCGGTGGAACTGAGGCTAAGGAGAGAAGGCAGAGAAACCGTTGCCACCTCACCAGTCTCGCCTCATGCGCTTTTGTGGGGGGCTGAGTTCATGGCGGGGAGGAGAGAAGCGCTCTCGCCGATTCCGGTCATAGTCCCGATATTCACCCCGACTGCGGCGCTCCCGGCCACGGTCCCACTCTCTGGCAATTAAGAACAAGTAACAGTCAGAGGACACAGCCGGCTTACACTCCTAGACATGCCCTTCCTATCCTGAGACACCAGACTAAAAGCCTACAATTACAAAACCATTCTCTAAACAGAAACAAACTTGCCTACTGCCATCGCTTCAGCCGTCACCCGCACACTGATGGCTGTCCAACTGTTCCTCCAGACCAGCACCAAACACCCACCACTATGGCCACTGCCACCTCAAATTCAGGTCAGAACTGAGCCTGTCATTTCTACCACTTCAAGCCCAAACTTGCCTCCCTCGTCCCGTTTCCCACTCTCGGGTGTATCAGCACATCACCAGGTATCCGACTTATCAAGTGTCACCCTCACCCCTCATTTGTTACTGGTTTCTTAATCCTCTGCCTCAGTGCCTATCAAGGCTTTCCTCTTCCTTGCCCTGCCCGCCAACTTCCCTAGTCCCTGTGCCCGGACCCTGGTCCTCTCTCCTGTAACCACAACATCAGTGTATCTACCTCTGGTCCCTCCCACTCCTCTACTGTCAAAGCGATCTGTCTCAAACACAGAGGTGATCAAGCCATGCCCTTCCTTGCTAAATGCCAGTATACAACACTCTTCATAACCTTGGCTCCTGCTGTCTGTCATTCCAGCCTCTCCACTAGTCACCCGCCATCTCCATCCCAACCTTAAAAAGAAAATCCTTTGTTCTAACCCAGCAGTTTTCCAACTTTTGGTCTTGAGTCCCCCATCCCCACCTTACACTCTTTAAAATTACTGTGCAGGGGCACCTGGGTGGCTCAGTCAGTTAAGCATCCAACTCTTGGTTTCGGCTCAGGTCATGATCTCACAGTTCCTGAGTCTGAGCCCTGCATCAGGCTCTGCGCTGACAGCACAGCCTCACTGGAATTCTCTGTCTCCTTCTCTTTGCCCCTTCCCTGCTCACACACTCTCTCCCTCAAAAGTAAACAAACATTTAAAAAATAAATAACGCTACTGTGCACATCGAAGAGTTTTTGCTTATGTGGATGGCATCAACACTATACTCAAAATTAAAACAAAGGGACACCTGGGTGGCTCAGTCGGTTGAGCGTCCGACTTTGGCTCAGGTCATGATCTCACGGTTCGTGGGTTCGAGCCCCACTTCAGGCTCTATGCTGACAGCTCAGAGCCTGGAGCCTGCTTCGGGTTCTGTGCCTCCCTCTCCCTCTGCCCCTCCTCTGCTCGCTCACACTCGCTCTCTCTCAAAAAAAACCAAAAACATTAATAAAGAAACTAAAACAAAAAATTAACACCTATTAATTGTGAAGTTACATATCAACATAAATTACATCTTTTTATGAAAATACAGCTATTTTCCAAAACAACATTTAATGAGAAAAGTGACATTGTTTTTACATTTAACAAATCTTTTCAAGGCCTGGCTTAATACAGACAGCTGGATTCTCACATTTGCTTCTACATTCAATCTACTGTAATGCATTGTTTGGTTGAAAATATGAAGAAAATCCAGCCTCACAGATAGGCAGATGGAAAAGGGAATCAATCCTTTTAATAGTCTTCTCAAGAAACTAGGGATATTCTTTGATACTACCCAAAACTTGACAAGAGATAGTTTCTTTTATTTATTATTATTTTTAATGGCTATATTTATTTTTGACACAAAGAGAGACAGAGCATGAGCAGGGGAGAGGCAGAGAAAGAGGGAGGCACAGAATCCAAAGCAGGCTCCAGGCTCTGAGCTGTCACCACAGAGCCCGACGCAGGACTCAAACTCACGAATCATGAGATCATGACCTGAGCCAAAGTTGGACGCTCAAGTGAATGAGCCACCTAGGCAGCCCCCCCTCACCTTTTTAAAAAATGTTTATTTACTTATTTTGAGAGAGAAAGAGAGCAGGTGCATGCAAGAGCAGGGGAGGGAGAGAAAGGGAAAAGAGAATCCCAAGCAGGCTCCATGCTGTCAGCACAGAGGCAGAGGAGGGGCTCAATATCACAAACTGTGAGATCATGACCTGAGCCGAAAACAAGAGTTGGACGTTTAAGGCACTTGGACAGCCAGTCGGTTAAGCAGCCCACTTAGGCTCAAGGTCATGATCTCTCTTGAGTGGTTTGTGAGCTCGAGCCCCACATCAGGCTCTCTGCTGTCAGCACAGAGCTGACTTTGGATCTTCTGTCTCCCTCTCTGCCCCTCTTCCACTCACATACTCTCTACCCCCGCCCCCTCTCAAAAACAAATGTTAAAATAAAAAAAATAAAAAAAATAAAAAGACTTGGACATTTAACTACTGAGCCACCCAGGTGTCCCACAAGGAACATTTTCTACTCTGCTACATTTAAATCCATTGTTCTATCTTGCTCTGTGAATGGATCTTGGCACATTTAATTATATGATATCAAAACATTATATTTGTTAGTATTACCACCTAGCTCATCAGAAAAGTCTTAAAGTAACGGGAGGCTGTCAAACTCACACTGGTAGATAAAAGTTTTCTAAAATTTCAATTTTCACTGCCAAGTTCCACTTCCTCACTGGCAACAAAGCTAACAATTTTCCTTGAAGTAACATAGATCCTTAGTCTTTTTTCAAAAAAATGTCTCTCAAATACCCAAACAGGAATAACCACTGTCCAATAATCTTTCATTCAGGTAAAAATGACATCTCACCAAAGCAACCACACACCTGTTAGTTCAACTCCAAACTCAGCTCTTCTTTGAGATAACCACTGTACTCCTATACGCTGCATAAATGCTTCATGCAGATTTCTCATTCATCGTGTGTGTTACGGAGACACATAGACAAGAATTCAACTTAACAGAATTTAAAATTTTTACTGCTTCATCAAGGACATTAAGTGAACCTGTTTTGTTTGTGTGTTTTTTTTTAACTGTTTGGTGCCACTGCCTTTATTTGCACTAAGATACCAATGGTTTTCCCCCCAATACTATGAACCAACAGAGAAAATGACCATACTCCTTCAAGTTACTATGAAAAATATAGTTATAACACCACAGATCTCGAGGGTCTGTGGACCACATTTTAAGAACCACTACCCTAAAAAAACTAGACTATGGGTTCTTTTCTGCACACAGTGTTATGTCCCCAACTCCAAACTATTCACTCAATCTGTGTCTGGGGAATTCTCAATCATCTTTCCAAGTCTTGCTAAGGGCCACTTTCCTGCAGCTCTCTCTGACATATAACCTCCACCTCTACTCTCCCCTCCGTTCTAAGATCTGTTCTTTCAACACTTAACCATCTTTAGGATGATCTCTTATATACACTCAATTGCAGGGCACACCCAAGGCCATTTTGCCCCCCACTCCAAGCTCCAGACGATAAACTCTTTAATTACAACAAACACTTCCTACCTATCTTCAGAATTCAGAACAATTTTGATTTTCTTCTTTCTTAGAGAAACCAGGGAAAACAAAGAGCCACAGTCCCCCCAGTGAAGAGATACAAATTGAATGATTTCCCGAACTGTTTTTTCAAAATGACACTGAATGACTAAATACTATTACAGTAAGTCACCTCAAGCTTTTGTTTTTTCTTTTTTTCTGGTAATGTTTCCAAATCAAGCGTCATCAACACTGATATTGCTGATTAGATTCGTGGTGTCCTTTGTATTTACAAAATTTTGCGCAGTTGCCCTTAACTTCATTAGTTTGTTTGAAATCACCTCTCTCTGGCACAAAAACAGACACATAGACCAATGGAATAGAATAGAAACCCCAGAACTAGACCCACAAACGTATGGCCAACTCATCTTTGACAAAGCAGGAAAGAACATCCAATGAAAAAAAGACAGTCTCTTTAACAAATGGTGCTGGGAGAACTGGACAGCAACATGCAGAAGGTTGAAACTAGACCACTTTCTCACACCATTCACAAAAATAAACTCAAAATGGATAAAGGACCTGAATG